GTGCCCTTTTTCAGTTGTTGAGCATGGACCTATGAACCAGGAGGTCACAGTTGGATTCCCAGTCAGGACACATGTCCACTTGCAGGAGGCAGCTAATCCATGATTCTCTCTCATCATTGCGCGCGCTCTCTCTCTCTCTCTCTCTCTCTCTCTCTGTCTCTCTCTCTCTCCTCTCTCTCCCCTTTCCTCGCTGAAATGAATAAAAATACATTTAAAAAAATATATTTTATTGATTTTTCAGAGAGGAAGGGAGAGGGAGAGAGAGCTAGAAACATCGATGAGAGAATCATCGATCAGCTGCCTCCTGCTTCCTCAGTGCTCACAGGTGCCTTCAGTGTGTCTTATCAGCGGGTCCCAGGAGCCCTGCTATCCCATCTAACATATGGGGCACAGGTTACTTTATCTATTTCCTACATTCAGGTCACTCAAGGGCGCTTATCAGTTTGTTTACATTCCATTCCACACTTTCAGATATCACACTTCAATACTTATTCTATATTGTGTTTATCCTTATTGCTATTACTAACACCCTCCTCGGGCATCTCTGCAGCGGCCCGAGGACCGGACGCACACGGTCCGCCTGGCCCTGGGCAACGGGCTCCGCGGGGACGTGTGGGACGCCTTCCAGCGGCGCTTCGGGCCCGTCCGCATCTGCGAGGTCTACGGCTCCACCGAGGGCAACGCGGGCTTCGTCAACTACCCGGGCCGCCGCGGCGCCGTGGGCAAGACCAGCTGCGTCCTCCGGGTGAGGGGCCCGGCTGCGGGGACCCGAGGGGAGGGGCGCCCCCCGGGCCTCTGACACCCCAACTTCCCTCCTCCTCCCCGCTGCAGGCGCTGTCCCCCTTCGAGCTCGTCCGGTTCGACCCCGAGGCTGCGGAGCCCGTGCGGGACGGAGCCGGCTGCTGCGTGCCCGTGGGGCCAGGTGCATGGGGGCGGGGCCTGCAGCTCTCACCGACCCTGAGTCCCCGTCCATCCGTCCGACCGTCCGTCCGACCACTGTCCGGGCCCCTCTGCCTCGGTTCTGACCGGCACTCGGGCCTGGGCCTCTCTTCCTGTGCCCCCAGGGCCTGTCCTCTCCGCCTCCCGTCCTCCCGGGCGCCCACCTTCTCCTCGGGGTCTTCTCTCCTGGGGTCTTGCAAGGGCCTGGCCACCATTGGTCTCCATCCTTCACCCTCCCTTGTCATCCTTTTCCCAGTTTTTAAAAATATTTTTATTGATTTCAGAGAGGGAAGGAGGGAGAAACATCAATGATGAGATGGATGCACGCCTGCCACGGGGGATGGAGCCCACCACCCAGGCACGTGCCCCGATGGGACTCGAACCCTGACCTCCTGGTTCAACCACTGAGCCACACCGGCCGGGCATCCTTTTCCTGTTTATTAATTTTATTTCTTTAGTTTTTTTTTTTCCTTTCCCCCTTTTTATTTTTATTTTTAAATATATTTTATTGATTTTTTTTTACAGAGAGGAAGGGTGATAGAAAGTAAAAAACAGAGCGGCTGGTCGGTGGCAGCTCTGCGGGTGCGGGGGCGGCGAGGACCCAGCGAGCGACCGACCGCGGCCGGAGCGCGCCCGCCACCGCCCGCCTCCCCGCCCTCCCTCCGGACGGCCGCAGCCCTGCGGGTCTCGGCTCCGGACCCACCCCCGCCCCACCCCGCGCGCCTCTGCCGCCTCTTCCCGAGCCCCAGCCCGCCGAGCGGCCGCCGCCGCTGCCGCTGCCGCCGCCGCCGCCGCCACCTCCGCGCCAGGTTCCGGCCGCGGCCGCCGCCCGCCGTCCAGGGCCCCTCCGTCCCGACCCCGGGACCCCGGCTCCCCGCCCGCCCCGGCCCCGGCACCATGTCGGAGAAGAGCGTGGAGGCAGCGGCCGAGCTGAGCGCCAAGGATCTGAAGGAGAAGAAAGAGAAGGTGGAGGAGAAGGCGAGCCGGAAAGAGCGAAAGAAAGAAGTGGTGGAGGAGGAGGAAAACGGAGCCGAGGAGGAGGAAGAGGAAACCGCTGAGGACGGAGAGGAAGAGGATGAAGGGGAAGAGGAAGATGAGGAAGAAGAAGATGATGACGACGAGGGGCCGGCGCTGAAGAGAGCTGCTGAAGAGGAGGATGAAGCGGATCCCAAGCGGCAGAAGACAGAAAATGGGGCATCGGCATGAGCCCCCCGCCAACGGGCTGGGGAAGGAGGCCCCTCAGGGCCTGGGGATGGGGCAGGAACAGTTCAGTGCAGCCACTCTTCACCTGACTCCTTGCTCTGGGCCCTGCACCAGAGCTCTCCCCCTCTCCCTCCCCAGCCTCCTCGTGTCCACCTCCAGACACTGCCCTTCCATCCTCACTCTGCCATTGTCCCACCTCCCGACCTGCTCCCTCTGAGCTCCCCAGCTGGTCCCCAATTGCCCCCTTCCCCTCTTTCTCTCTTCCTCCCTCACGCCCACCCCTCCTCCTCCAATAGCTTCTCCTTCGGAACCTCTGCATCCTACCTTTCTGTCCTGCCCATCCCTACCCTGCCTGACCCCTGGGTCTCCTTCAGATCCCCTTCTCAGACAGCGCCAGGCTGGGGTGGGGCCAGGGTTGGGACCAAGCCCTACAGCTGCCCCCCCCCCTTTCCCCTTTTTGTATAATTTAATAAAGAAATGGTCGCTCTTCTGTTTTTAAAAAAAAAAAAAAAAAAAAAAAAAAAAAAGAAAGTAAAAAACATCAATGAGAGAGACATCCATCAGCTGCCTCCTGCACACCTCCTATTGGGGATGTGCCCGCAACCAAGGTCCATGCCCTTGACCGGAATCGAATCCGGGACCCTTGAGTCCGCAAGCCGACGGTCTATCCACTGAGCCACACCGGTTTCGGCCTTTTCCCCTTTTTAATGGGCTCCCCGTGCCACCCTCTCTGTCCGCCCGTCCCTCCTCTTTCGTCTCCCCGTCTCCATCGCTGGGTGTCCCCCCTCTGAGGCTCCGGGCGGTGGAGTCCGCCTGTTGGCACCTCGGGCGGGAGGCCGCGGGCTCCGATGCTGCGAGGCTCCCGGGGCTCACGCCGCCTCCGCCCCCCGCCCCCTCCAGGGGAGCCCGGGCTGCTGCTGACCCGGGTGCTGCGCCGAAACCCCTTCCTGGGCTACCGCGGGCCCCGGGAGCTGTCGGAACGGAAGCTGGTGCGGAAGGTGCGGCGCCCGGACGATGTTTACTACAACACCGGCGACGTGCTGTCCATGGACCGCGAAGGCTTCCTCTACTTCCACGACCGCCTCGGGGACACCTACCGGTGCTGGGCGGGGCTCCGGGGGCGGGGCCACCGGGACATCCCGGTCCTAAAGGGGGCGGGGCCACCGGGACATCCTGGTCCTAAGAGAGGCGGGGCTTTCTGTGCCGGGGGCGGGGCCACCGGGACATCCTGGTCCTAAAAGAGGCGGTGCTTTCGGTGCCGGGGGCGGGGCCACCGGTACATCCTGGTCCTAAAAGAGGCGGTGCTTTCGGTGCCGGGGGCGGGGCCTCCGGGACATCCCGGTCCTAAAGGGGGCGGGGCCACCGGGACATCCTGGTCCTAAGAGAGGCGGGGCTTTCTGTGCCGGGGGCGGGGCCACCGGGACATCCCGGTCCTAAAGGGGGCGGGGATTGGGCGGGGCCACCGGGTCATGCTGATCCTAGAGGGAGGCGGAGCTTGGGGCGGGGCCACCGGGATTTTCAGATCCTACTGGGAAGCCGAGTAAAGAGGCGGGGATTTTGGGTCGCAGGGGGCGGGGCTTGGTGGACAGGGGGCGGGGCCTCCTCGTTACCAGGCGCGTGATCTCAAGCACCTTCTGTCACCCGCAGGTGGAAGGGTGAGAACGTGTCCACGCGGGAGGTGGAGGGCGTGTTGTCACTCGTGGACTTCCTGCAGCAGGTGAACGTCTACGGCGTGTCCGTGCCAGGTGCGGCGGGCTCCCCTCATTTCAAACCCACAGCAGCTTCGTGGGGGGCGGTTTCCCCCCCCCAAACCCCCCACCCCCGTTAGCGGCGGGGGAGCTGAGCGTGACTGGCTGGTGTGCCTCCAGGGTGTGAGGGCAAGGTGGGCATGGCCGCCGTGCAGCTGGCCCCCGGCCGGGCCTTCGACGGGCAGAAGCTGTACCAGCACGTCCGCACGTGGCTCCCGGCCTACGCGGTCCCCCATTTCATCCGCGTGCAGGTGAGCTCGGGGGGTAGTGGTTGGGTGGGAGGTCGCGGCCGTGGGAGTCGCGGTTGGAGTTACAGTCCTGCCCCTGCAGGACACGCTGGAGATCACCAACACCTTCAAGCTGGTGAAGTCCCGGCTGGTGCGCGAGGGCTTCGACGTGGGCGTCATTGCGGACCCGCTGTTTGTGCTGGACAGCCAGGCCCAGGCCTTCCGGCCGCTGACTCAGGACACGTTCCAGGCTGTGTGTGAGGGCACCTGGAAACTCTGAACAGCTGGCCGGCGAGCAGGGCACGTGGAGGGCCAAGGCCCACGCCGACCGCTGTCAAAAAATACATCATGACAACAGCTGGAGCTGCTGTGCCAGAGGACCACCTCCCAGGCCTTAATTCTCACGCCTTTTGGATGGTAACATGGGGCCTAGTCACCTTGAGTCCGGAAGAACAGTTTGCAGGAATAACACGAAAGCAGTGATGACTAGTGGACAGATGACTACAGAGCTGGAAAATGGAGAATAGCATTCATTTCCTTCCTTCTGTGGATGTCATGGGGCCCCTTCTCTTTCTCATCAATATCCCTTGCCTTTATCTCCTGATCAGAACACTATTTGGGCATATGCCTGAATCAGTACTTCAGGAATAATTATCCCCCGCCCCCCTAATTTTCAAATAAACGCTAGTTTCCTCTCCCTTTGGAAGCTCTTTCTATTTTTAATGTTTTTATTGGTTTCAGAGAGAGAGAAAAAGAGAACTGTTAATTGGTTGCCTCCAGCTTGCACCCCAACCTGCACCGAACTAGCCGTGTGTCTGAATCTTCAGGTGCACAGGAAGACAACCAACTGAGCCACACCTGCTGGGGCCTTCTCTCTCTCTCTTTTCTTTCTAGGGGAGGGGGGTGTTTTTCTTTTAAACACCATCATTCAAAGGTATAGTGTCACCCCCTCCTGCCCGGACCTGCACAGGAGCCTCGTGGATCCCAGACTGGCCGTACCCCCAGCTTCACAGAGCAGGCCTATGCTGGACCCAGAAACAGAGAACAAACTTGAATGTACACAAATGCTGCGTGGATGGAGGAATGAGCCACCAGTGCAGGGCCTAGCGCTCTCCAAAAGGCATACTCCTCAAGGCGTTGGTGGTATAGTGGTGAGCATAGCTGCCTCCCAAAAGGCGTACTCCAGGCCGGGGCAGCGTGGCTCAGGGGTTGAGCGTTGACCTATGAACCAGGTCACAGTTGATTCCCGGTCAGAGCCCAGGCCCAGGTTGTGGGCTCCTCCCGGTGTGGTGGGGGTTGTGCAGGAGGCAGTGGATCAATGATTCTCTCTCATCATGGATGTTTCTATCTCTCCCTCCGTGAAATCAATTAAAATTTTTTTGAAGGAAACATACTTCAGGGTCCCGATTGCCTCCAACCTAGGACCGCTGCTCGCCTGCAGTAGTGGCCCTGCCTGGGGAAGGGCAGGGGCGTGGGAGGGACCAGCAGCCTTGGCCTCTGCACAGTGGAGGAGAGCGGCCGCGGGTGTGCTCTGCAGGATGCGGGAGGTCTCTGAGGGCGAGCTGACCCGCGTGCAGGCACGACTGAGGCAGGAAGGTTGAGCAGGAAGTAATTGGGGGAGCACATGTACAGAAGCCCTGCGGCGAGTGCTGGGGGGCGGGGGGGGGGTTGGCGCAAAGGCCTCTGAAGCTGGGGGCTGCAGTGTCTGGAGCCGGAAGTGCCCTCCTGGGCGCAGTGGGCCCTGCAGACCAGAGGCAACGAGAAAGGAGCCTCGGAGCGCAGAGGCCTCCGAAGGCTGAACGCGTCCCCCGGGGCATTGTGGGAACTGTAGGCAGAAGCCAAAGAACGTCAAGGCCTCTGTGACCTACTGGAGCGCCTTCACAGCCCGGAGCATTGTGGGAGTTGTAGGCAGAGGCCCGCGGACGTCCAGGCTCCTGGGATGGGCGTCGGAGCTGCTGTCAGAATCCACCAGGAACAAGGGGGCCACGGGGATCCTCTGAGGTCCATGAGGGGCGTTGGACCCACCAGGGACACGGGGACCCACTAACCCCTGCTGGCCCACCAGCTCACCTGTAACCACTCCATCTCCAGCCGGACCTTGCCCCGGCCCCAGGGCGAGCACCAGGTCAGAAGGTCCTCAGACACGGGGAGGCGGAGGCACCCCCCCCCCCCCCCCACGCCCCTAGCTCCAGGCCGCAGCCGGGTCCTGCCCGGCCCAAGCCACACACCCCTCCTGTCGAGTGCACCGGTTTCCTGGAAACTGCCCCCCACAAAAATGCCCCTTATTTTCAAAGTAAAGCTTAAACAACAAGATCGAATATGTTCTATAACATGAGATAAACAACAAATACATAAGCTTGTCACAGAAAAAAAGACCCGTAGCTCAGGATGCTGGAGTGTGTCCCTGATCCCCGACCAGGCACAGAGGAACCGGCCAGCGGATGCACACAGGAGTGGACAGCCACTTGATATTCCCTTTTCCTTCCCTTCTCTAAAGTCAGTTTTAAAAAGTCAGGCCCCTCCGTGTCCGCTCAGACTGGGGCTCAGGAGCCGAGGGTCAAGGGGGAGGTGCCGGGCAGCAGGAAGGCGGGACCGGGAGCCCGGACTCCCGGCGGCCAGGCGGGAGGAGGAGCTGATCCATCACAGGACCAGGGGCCAGAGCCGCTCCATAAACCTCCCGACTCAGAAAGGGAGTTGATGGGAGACCCACAGCCGCGGGGAGCATGAAGGGGCCCTCCCCGTGCCCACCACAAGCGGCCCTGCCCTCCCGGCGTCCTGGTCCTACAAGTTCCAGGGGGCCCCGCCCCGCGGTGCGGACAGGAGGTGGTTGCTTGCTGAGCATCTCACGGTCCCCGGGTCCCAGGCGGAGGAGGGGGGCGAAGGCCCTGGGCGCCCCGCGGGGAGGGGAGGGCGGCTTCCGGGGGGACCTTCCCGGGAACGCGGCCGCTCCCGCCCCCGCGCCCTCCCTGCCTGGTCCTCCGGCGGCAGCCGCTGTGTCCGGGCTGAGGCCCCGGCCTCACGGGTCCCGCGGGCGGTGGCCGCGGCGGTGTATCACCAGCTGGGACTTCCAGTCGAAGCTGCGGCCGCAGTCCCCGCACACGTGGCGCGGGTGGGGGCCGTGGCCCTGGCGGTGGATCACCAGCTGCGACTTCCAGCTGAAGCCGCGGCCGCACTCGGCGCACGTGTAGCCGCGGGCGGGGGGCGCGGGGCGGGCGGGGGCGGGGGCGGGGGCGGCCGGCTCCCGGGGCCCTGGCGGCGGCGCAGGAGCTGCCGGCGCGGCCCGGTGCGCGCGGTGGTGGATGGCGAACACGGACTTCCAGCCGAAGCCGCGGCCGCACTGCGCGCAGGTGAAGCGCGGGCCCCGGCGCTCGGTTCCTGGGGAGGGAGGGACTGGCACCCGGACGTCGGTTCCCCGCCCCGCGGCCCCCGGCGCGGGCGCCACCCAAACCGCCACCCGCTGGGACTGGAGCAGAGGCTGCACTCACCCGCGCCCTCGGCGCCCGCGCTCGGCGACCCCGGCTCCAGCTCCAGCTTCGGCCGCGCGTCCAGGAAGGGCGGCGGCAACCCTGGTGGTTCCGGGGGGCGGGTCAGGCGCCCGAGGGTCGGGGTGGGACCTGGGCGCCCCTCGGGAGGGAGGGAGAAGGCGGGGCGCAGGTTGCAGGCAGCAGGGGGTGGGGGGTGCAGGCAGTGGGGGGTGGGGGCGCAGGCACAGGATGCAGGCAGCTGGGGGTGCAGGGGGGCAGGGTGCAGGCAGCGGGGGAAGGGGGGCGCAGGGGGACGGGGTGAGGCAGCGGGGGTTGGGGTTGCAGGGGGACAGGGTGCAGGCAGCGGGGGGTGGGGGTGCAGGGGAACAGGGTGCAGGCAGCAGGGGGTGGGGGCGCAGGGAGACAGGGTGCAGGCAGCGGGGGGTGGGGGTGCAGACAACGGGCAGGGTGGGGGTGCGGTCCTCACCCTGGGAGACCTCAGAGCCATACTTCTCTAGCAACGCGTCCCAGTACAGCTCCTTCTGCGACGGGTCCAGCAGCCCCCACTCCTCCTGCCAAGGCGACCCCAGCCCCACCCCAGCCTCAGAGGACTCGGAGACGGGGTGTGAGTGCCGGGGCGGCCGGCAGGGAGGGGGCGGCCCACCCCACATCTGGCCAGCGGACTGAGCTCAGGGCCCTGGGCTGGGGGCGGGGGGCAGTGTGTCCCCAGTAGACCAGGGACTCCGGGGCTGCAGACGCCTCTCCGGGAGACCCTCCTGGGGACAGCTGTGCGGGGCCAGGGCAACCCTGTATGGGCGGCCAGACAGAGGGGCAGCCGCACAGCGGGGAGCAGTGATGCAGGTGGGGGGTGGTGGCAAGGGCGGGGCGATGTCCCCCCACACACACCCTCCTAAACCCCCAGGTCCCTGGAAAACGTGGGGTCCTAACCTGCATCCCGGGGGCGTGGAAGGAGGCAGAGTCCGGTTCCCCGGGTCCCACTGGCCCCTCCTGGGTCTGGATTGCATGGGAGGGACTGGCGGATGCTGGGAGGTGAGGCAGGGGGTCAGGGCCGCCCCTGAGCTGGTGCCAGCAGTACCAGGCACACAGGCGCCCTCCCGGCTCTCCGGGGCCCAGCTCTGCAGCCCCCGGAGTCCCCCTCCAGCCTGGGTGCCCGCACTCCGGCCACGGGCCCCCTCTCACCGGTCTCCAGCCCGTCAGCATCGGGCTCCTCCTTCACGCTGCAGCTGAGCCGGGCAGACCCCTCCGTCTGCACCGGGGCGTCCTCCCGCCGCTCGCCCGCGGCTGCCCCGAGGGGCGGGACTCTCTCCGGTGAGTCCTCTGCCTCCTGCGCCGCAGGGAGCACTGCTGGCTTCAGGACGCGGGCTGCGATCTGAGGGGGAGCGGCAGTCACGGGGGGCCCCTCTAGTCCTCGCTGTCCCCCCACGAAGCCACGGCCACACTCACCCAGCCCAGCAGCTGCCCGGGGTCCTGCCGCAGGCTCTCCACCAGCGCGGCGGCCTCCTCGGGGCTGCCTGGCCTCTGGCCCTGCACCCAGGCCTGGATCTCGGGGGGCAGCGCGCCCAGGAACTGCTCCAGCACCAGCAGCTCCAGCATCTGCTCCTTGGAGTGAGCCTCGGGCCGCAACCACCTGCGGCACAGCTCGCGGAGCTGGGCCAGGGCCTCGGGAGGACCCGCCGCCTCCTCAAAGCGGAACCCCCGGAAGCGCAGGCGCGCCGCCTCGGGGTCCTCCGGGGCGGCTGCAGGGCTCCCGGGGGGCAGGCGCGGAGGGCCCAGGGAGGACGGCATGGTGGTGTCGGGAGCCTTGGAGCCACCGAGGGGGACGTGCAGGGAAGGTGGGGTCAGGGAACCCCCCGAGGGCACAAGGCGCGGTGGAGAGGTCGAGTCCAGGTCAGGCTGCAGAGCCGCGAGGAGCGGGGCGGGGCGGGGGGCCAGGGCGGGACACGGGGCTGCACTGGGCGCCCCGAGGGGCTGGCGATAGGGTGGCCCGCGGCTGCGCCCAGGGTCGAGGCTGGCCTTGGGGGGCTCGATGCTCGCCGACCTCAGCGCGCTGCGGAGGGCGCGCCCAGGCCGGACGGAGCAGGTGGCCGGAACCCCGAGCTGCGCGGAGTCGTGAGCCGGCCACCTGGGGGCTGTCCAACCCGGGAGACCAGCCTCGGGGTTCGTCTCCCCAAAGTGGGAGGAGGGAGGGAGCCTTCTCGGAGGAGGCAGCACGAAGCCCGGGAAGGAGCGGCTCGGCCGGGGGCGCGCAGGGAGGAGGGGCTGGGTCCCGGGAGGTGGAGAAACGGCGCCCAGCCCAGCCCAGCCCAGCCCAACCGCGCTCTCCTTCGCCACCGCGCCGGCGCCGGCGCCGGCGGCCGCTTCCGGTCCACGGCACCGCGACGCCACGCCCCTCCGTTCGTTGCCCTGGTGACGTCGCTGCGGCCAATCAGGACCCTGCTCCGAAGGCACCGCCCCTCCCTCGGACTACGTTTCCCATGAGCCTCAGTAAGCGAGGACGGGCGCGGAGGCTCATGGTCAGAGGCCTCTCACGCCTGAGAAGTGCTTTTGTCCTCGGAGAAAGGAATCTACAGAGAAGCTCATTTTGCGAACTCCCTTTCCTCGCTGGCGGCCGTCCTTTTTGCATCCGGGTCTTAGGACTCACCAACTGCCGGGTGGGCCGTTAAAAACCCGCGCATGTGCAAAACGGACCGGGGTCCTATTGGTAAGCGAGGTGAGAGAGCTGCCCTTTTGGCCAATCAGAGCTGGCCCTCTGCGCAGACCCCCACCCCCAGCTCGCTGCTAGAGGCTTGTTTCTGGACGCCGAGTGGTCGCCTTGGTAACGACGTCCCAGCGCATGCGCGCCCGCAGCAGTTTCTAAGGCAACAGCGGCGCCCGGGTCGTGGACCAGTTCGGCAGAGACTGGGCTCCGGGTGGTCCCACAAGGAAGCGGGGTCCGGCCAGGACGGCCCTCGTGACCTGTGGGCTTTCTCCAGCGAGGGTGCCGGTCCCTCACTCGACCTCCGCTGGGCGCCCTGCCCGGTGGGCACCCATTTACCGAGGAGGAAAGGGTCCTATGATTCACATGCGGAGCCGGACATCTTCAGACAGCAGGCCTGTACTGCACGGCGAAGGAGGGGGCTTTTGTCCAGGCTTATGGGACGTGTTCAACCTCTTCCTTTCTTGGGGGGCCAGAGCCAGTCAGCTGACCTTTATTTTCAGTTTATCTCGGTAGGCAATGCCATCGTTTTTAAGATCTGACTGGGGTGAGGCCAGGTGTGCTTCCACACATCAAGTGTTCCTAAAACGCATCTCCCTGTCTGTCTGGCTCCATCTGATGCCGAGGAACCCGGGCCGCCAGCTGGAGATAAAGGGCTGTGGCTGTATCACGGACGGGGGTGGGGTGGGCGCTCTGTGTGTGCGCGTGGCTGGGCTTGTCAGCTCTTCCCAGCAGCGTCATTAGAGGGCGCTGTTTTGTGAGGCCTTAGATCTTTCCTCAGAGAGTGGGGATTTCCCAGAAACGACTCTCACCGTTCCCACTTAGGTGCAGAATTGCCCTTACTATGGGCATTAAGCTTTGTCTTAAACCTAGCGCGGCGGGGGGGACACCCCATGACCCGAGGAAACTACGCAGAGAGGGGGTGTGAGCTGTGCACAGCTGAGCCAGGCCCGGCATCCAGACAGCCCACACACCTCCCTGTCCCAGGCTCTAGTTGGCTGGCTGAGGGCAGATGGAAGCCTGGCCGGCTCCCTGCATGTGGCTGACCCACAGGGTGGAGGTCTGAGAGGGAGACAGTGATGGCTCCCCGGCCCTGATCCTCCCTCCTCCCGTCTGCCCTGCTGCAGACTCACATCCGGCCACAGCGCTGGCCTGGCCCGTTACCCAAGTCAAGGTTCCAGGAGCCTTTATGCCCCCACCGCCCTGACAGGATACAGGGCAGGGCTGCGCGTGTCGGCAGGGTCCCTGCCCATGTGCGGTGCTTTCCTGAGGTCCCCCCTCGGTGTGACACCCCCACGGAGTGGGGACACTGAGGCAGGCAGGCGGGTGGGGCCCAGACACCAGGTCCATGTCGACCTTCAGCCTCACAACCAGGAAAGTTCATTGTCCTTTTACTGAGGGAAAAGGGGGGCCGTCATACTCGGATCAGACACAGACGGTAAGTTCTTGCACAAATTCAGCCCCCCCCCCCCCCCCCCCCGTCCGGAGGCTCCCGACAGACCACGTGGGTGGTGACAGCCTGCAGACCTGCAGACCTGCACCGGGCGTGCGGTCCCCACGGAGCTGCAGGGCCCTGGTTCCACCTGGTTCCCTGCGAGAAGCCACAGGTGGAGCTTCGTCTGTGGTCCATGAGGGGCGGGACCCCGGGGCAGCTGGAGCGGGGGGAGGGGTGCGGGGGGGACGGCCGGGAGCTGCCTCAGCAGCTTTACTGTAGGAGTTGAGGCAGGGACCACAGGTGACCGCAGTGGGTGCTCCTATCCCATCACATCCAAGACACCAAAGCCATCTGCCACCCAGTGACACAAACATGACCCCACCCAGGGCTGCTAGGACGAACCTGGCAGCAGTCAGAACAGGGGCGGGCGCTGGCATGTTCGCCTGCAAATTGTCCTTTTGCAGCCAGAATTCGGCTTTCTCTCCTTTCCGGTGCGGCCCCCACACGCCCCCTGGTCCACCACACCCACCCCCAGGAAGCCGCGGATGTAGACACCGGGGGACTATCCGATGATCAGGGACCAGCCAGCGAGGTGTGACATTACAGATTCATCTGGGCCGCCTCCGCCCCCATCGCAGCACCCCACCTCCCCTGGGGGTGTGTGTGTGTGTCCAGGCACAACACGTGACCAGGGCACCACCATGCCTCCTGGTTCTGACTGCCACGCCCCGGCCCCATCCAAGGACCCGCCTCCTGGTCCTGTCCGTCCCGGACCTTTCTGCAGCGGGGTCCCGGGGAATCGGGGAGGCGTCAGTCACCGCGGCGGATGGAACCCCGGTGCGCGCACAGGCCTCTCCCGAGGGACCAGCCCGCTGGCCGCGGGAGGGCGGGGCTGGACCTCAGGCCTCCGCCTGCGCGGACGCGGGCCCCGCGGCCGGGCCTGCGGCGGGCGGGGCCCCGCGCCTCCTCCGCGCCGGCGGCCGCTCCCCGGTGTGGATGCGCTGGTGGTGGAACAGGGCCGGGCGCTCGCGGAAGGCGCGGCCGCACTGCGCGCAGGCGAAGGGCTTCTCGCCCGTGTGGATGCGCCGGTGGCTGAGCAGCACGGCGCCCTTGGCGAAGGCCTTGCCGCAGTCGGCGCAGCGGAAGGGCCGCTCGCCCGTGTGCAGCAGCTGGTGCTGCGTGAGGTTGGAGCTGTGGCTGAAGGCGCGGCCGCACTGCGCGCACGCGAAGGGCCGCTCGCCCGTGTGCACGCGCTGGTGCTTGAAGAGCGAGGAGCCCTGGCTGAAGGCGGCGCCGCACAGCGCGCAGGCGAACGGCTTCTCGCCCGTGTGCGTGCGCTCGTGCTGCGCCAGGTGCGCGTTGCGGCAGAAGCGGCGGCCGCAGCGCGCGCAGGCGTAGGGCCGGCCGCCCGCGTGGATCTTGCGGTGCTGGCTGAGGTTGGAGCCGTGGCTGAAGGCCTTGCCGCACTCGCCGCAGCGGAAGGCCTTCTCGGCCGTGTGGATGCGCTGGTGCCGCACCAACGAGGAGCTGTGGCGGAAGGCCTGGCCGCAGGCGGCGCAGGCGTAGGGCGTCTCGCCGCTGTGGATGCGCTGGTGCTGCGTCAGGTGCGAGGTCTGGCTGAAGGCGCGGCCGCACTGCGCGCAGGCGAAGGGCCGCTCGCCCGTGTGCGTGCGCCGGTGCTTGAGCAGGTCCGAGCTCTTGACGAAGACCTTGCTGCAGGCCCGGCACTCGAACGTCTTCTCCGCGGGCGGGAGGCCGGGGCCAGGGCCCAGCTCCGCCCAGGGCGGGGGCTCCCGGCCGGACAGGAGCTTCTGGGGCTCGTCCCACGCGGCCCCCGGGCCCAGCTCCCCCGCCGCAGGGGGACCGGCCTCGAGGAGGCCGGGGACGCCCTGGAAAGTCCTCCCGGGACGCCCCCGCCCCGGTGGTGGCTGCTGCTGCGGCTGCGCGCCCGGCCCGGCGAGGTCCCCTGTGGGTGTGCTGCCCGCTGGCGCCCGCAGCTGGGGGGTCAGCCGCAGGCTCACGCCGGCCTCCCCACTGCCTGGGCCCAGCAGGAGGCTTTCCCAGTAGATCACGGAGACACCCGAAGGTTTCCTCTCCCCCCGACGCCCCTCCAGGCGTTCTCCGGGCTCAGAGGCAGCAGGGGTGCGGGGGACCCCGGTGGGTGTCAGGGGGGCCCTCTCCGGGAAGGTCCTCGCTGCTTCCCCAGAAACAGCTCTGTCCTCTGCGGGACGCTGGGAACCTGCAGGACCAGAAACAGCGGGTGCTTGGGTCACCCTGACCAGGAAGGGGGGGTCCCTGGGTGGGTGGGCAAGGGGGCCCCAGGTCTGAGTGCAGAAACTGCAGAGGAGGACACAGCCTTCCGGCCTGCAGCTCCCGGCCTGCCTGGGTCCCTCCCCCTGGCGGCCTGAGGCAGCCTTTTGCTCATGGGCTGTGTGCCCTGACCCCTCAGAGCACAGCCAGCGCCAGGACCGGCCTGGCTAAAGCTGAGTCCCTGGTGCCCTGGGAACCGGCTGGTCACTGCAAATGCTCAGGAAGCCCTGGCCGCGAGAATGGACGTGAGTGAAGGGCGCACAGAGGAGGCGGCGAGGTGAGACAGGAGGGTTTGAGGAGGAGGAGGCCCGAGGTAAGACAGGAAGGCGTGAGGCCAGCACGCTGGCTGAGCTGGGACCCTGAGGTCTCACCACGGCCCAGGTGCCCTCGGCGCTCCCCCTGGAGGGCAGCCAAGGCAGGAGGCTGCAGGAGAGGCTCCGGGTGGAAGGAGAACAGGAGGGAGGCAGGTGGGAGGCAGCAGAGTGTGGGAAAGAGGGACACCCCCGCCCCGGCCCCCGGGAGCCCCACTCACCAGGGCTGGGCCGCCTCTGGGCGTCCCTGGCCAGGGTCACATCCAGCCCACCGCGCACCCAGGGCTCCTCCCCGCGCTCCAGCTGCAGGACCATGCGAGGGCGGGAGGCAGACAGTCCTGCAGGGGCGGGGAGCCAGTGAGGGGCTGGCGGCAGCTCATGACAGCCGGCTGACCTACAGGAGGGCTGTCCGCGGCAGGGCTCCCCTGCGAGAAGTGTGCCCGCAGCCCCACCGAGCCCAGGCCCTGAGGTGCCCCAGCCTGAAGGGATGCTGGGCCTGGGGGCGGGGGCGGGTGAGGCCCCAGGAGGTCAGAGGATTCCTGCTGGTGGAGCAGCCTGACAATGAGCTTTCTGGAGGGGGGCTTAGGGTGGGACCCAGGGCCTTACCCAGCGAGGCCACGAGGGCGAAGTTCTCCAGCATCACCTGGCGGTACAGGGCCCGCTGCGCCGCGTCCAAGAGCCCCCACTCCTCCCGGGAGAAGTACACGGCCACGTCCTCAAAGGCCATCGGCGCCTGAGACAATGGGGGGCCGTGGCCTACGTTATGGCCACGTGACCCCCACTCCCTGTCCCAATGGCCGCTTCCTCCAGGTCCCTCACATTCACCCCCTCCACCCCCACCCAGGGCTCTGCAGCTCCCTCACCACCTGTGTGGGCCTCTTTGTCTGCGTGGGGCGGGGGGAGGAGATGGGGGACCTTTATTCTACCAAGGCCCGTTAGGATGTGTATAACGTCCTTCGCAGGCCATATGGAATTATCGACTTAAAAAGCAGCCTGCTGTATGGGTCAGACATTTCATTATCTCACCCCTCGTGCCTTGGTGGGGCTAGATCCAATGGTTTCAGGGGCCTTGTATGGCCCAAGGACTGGACGTTCCCCACCCCTGGCCCGCCACAGATGCCCGCTCGCCTGCCCGCTGGCCCACTGGCCTCCCACTGGCTGCCGCCCCACGGGCAGTGCCAGGCCGTCACACAGCTGTTGCTCCAGCTGAGCCTCCCCAGGTGTGTGCTCCCACGGCTCTCGCCATCAGCAACTGCAAGAGAGGCCCAAAGGGTCCCCTCTGGCTGGCCAGACAGGAGCCAGTGCCTCCCCTCTTAGCCACGCCCCTTTAAAAAAATTTTAAATTGATATCAGAGAGGAAGGAAGAGAGAGAAACATCAATGACGAGAATCATTGGGTCGGCTGCCTCCTGTACGCCCCATCGTGGGGATGGAGCCAACAACGCGGGCCTGTGCCCTGACGGGAATCGAACCGTGACCTCCTGGGTCATAGGTTGATGCTCAGCCCCTGGGCCACGGTGGCAGGGCCGAGTCCTCTCACTGGGCTGCCACCGGCCAGACTTCCTGAGAGCCGTGGGCCTGTGGGCCCCTCTTCCTCTCCTTGGAGCGCTGACTGCCCGGCTCTGGGAGGTGGTGAAGTCCCCTCCCCTGGGACTCCCAGGCCCTGTCGGGCTCCGGACACGGGGACTCTGCTCCGCGGTGGGCCATCCCCTGCTCATGGCCCCCTGAAGCCTCATTTCCCTTCAGATCCCAGATTTTGTCTCCAGCAGCTCCATTCTTCCGGAGCCCAGACTAAGAAACCTGTGCCGGTCCGTCCCTCAGGACTGCCCCCCCCCCACACACATGCCTCAAACTGGATAATGGGCGTCTGTGTCGGGAATGCAACAGATGTTATGTCTTCGGTCTGGTCCACGCACCATCACCGCCTGCCCCCTGCACCCTGTACCCCCAAACTTCCCACCCCGCAACTATTCTCCACGCAGAAAAATCGAGACAGGTTAAACCTCCTGACTCAGCCCAGGCGGCGTGGCTCAGGGGTTGAGCATTGACCTATAAATCATGACCATGGTCGGCAAACTGCGGCTCTTTGGCCCCTTGAGTGTGGCTCTTCCACCAGATACCACGTTCTGGGCGAGTCTATGTTGAAGAAGTAGCATTAGAAGTTTAAGTTTAAAAAATTTGGCTCTCCAAAGAAATGTCAATCATTGTCCTGTTGATATTCGTCTCTATGGACGAATGAGTTTGCCGACCACTGAACCAGATCAGGATTTGATTCCTGGTCTAGGCATAGACCCGGGTTGCTGGCTTGCTCCCCGGTGTGGGGTCTGCAGGAGGCAGCTGATCCATGATTCTCTCTCATCATGGATGTTTTTGTCTCTCTCCCTTCCTCTCTGAAACCAATATATATATATATATATAGATATATAGATAGATAGATAGATATAGATATAGATAGATATAGATAGATATATACACACACACATATACACGCTGAGTGGCAAGATTATTGTGATCTCTGAACGCATAATAACCTGGCCGCTCAGTGTGAATATATACATTAGAGGCCCGGTGCATGAATTTGTGCGTGGGTGGGGTCCGGCCAGGGGGAGGGGACATGGGCAGTTGGCCCACTGGCCTGCTGGTCGAACTCCTGGTCCAGGGGACCATTTGCATATTATCGTTTTATTCTATAGGATACACACTGCGTGGCCCGATTATTATGCGTTCAGAGATCATCATCAGCTGGCCACTCCGTGTGTACAGACATACAAAATTCCCAACATAAAGCATGACCAAAACCCTGGAGATAGCCCACTCCCCGCCTCACACATTGTCTTCCCTCCCCCAGAAGCTCCATGTTGGGAAGCTCTGGCCGGAAGTACCAGGTTGCCTCCAACCCCAGCTTTCCCCAAGGGTGTCCCCGCGTCCCCTCCCCCTCGGCTGCCTGGGGTGGGGACCCCGCCCGCGCGGGCCTCTGGTCTGGAACCGGGTCCGGGGCGCATTGGAGAGGGGAAGACCCTTCTAGCTGGGGCGGGGTGGGGGGGCCGGGCCGAGGAGGAGGGGGTCCCCTACTCACCGGCGTCGCCGCGGCCATCGGAACCAGCGCGAGCGGCGGCCCACCCGGACCCCCGCTCCCGGCCTCAGGCTCCCTGGGCGTCCCGGGCGCGGGCCGCCACGCACGGCCCCTGCGGCGCCTCGGAGGCCGGAGAGCACGTGGGCCGGGCGCCGCCCCGAGGCCCCTGGGGGCTGCCCACGCTGCACCCGAGGAACCGAGGCTGGGGGTCGGGGGCGTGGCCGGGCGCTGCGGCCCTGGGCGCGCGCGGAGCGGGCCGGCGCCCCCGCCTTCGTCCGCCCCGCCTCCGGCCTCCAGAGCCTCCGGGGACCGGCCGACCGGCCGCGCTCCAGCCCCCAACACCGGGGGCGGCCCAGCGGCCCCGAGCCCAGTGACAGTCTTGGAGACCGGAAGTCCAGCCCCGGAGGCCGGAAGTACATCCCCGGTCCGCGCTCATTGGCCCAATACGGGAGGGGTTGGCGCGCAGAGCCTTCTGGGAAGTGTAGTTCCAAGTGCTTGCCACCCACGGTATCCGTGGCAACGGCCAAGCGTCACCGCGTGGTATGCTGGGAAGTGGAGCGGGGTCTGGGGGTTTGGGGGAGCTGCTTCCCATGGCTCCCTCCTGGGTGGGGCTCCAGGCTGGGAGGCTCTAGAAGAGGCGGGTTAGAAAGAAACGGGAAAATCCCGTGGAATAGGGAAACTGGACAGTTAAACAAGGCTGAGCGATTCACAGCCAGAGAGAATAGATCCTAAGCTCTGCCTGGCTGGTGTGCATCAGTGGTTGAGCGTCCACCTAGGAAACACCAGGTCAAGGTTCCGTTCCAGGTTCCCCGGGTCAGGGCACAAGCCCAGGTTATGGGCTCGATCCCCAGAAGGTGGCGTGCAGGAGGAGCCAATCAATGATTCTCATCACTGATGTTTCTCTCTCCCTCTACCTTCCTCTCTGAAATCCGTAAAAATATATCTTAAAAATAAAATAAGCCGCTGAAACCGGTTTGGCTCAATGGATAGAGTGTCGGCTTGGGGACTGAAGGGTCCCGGGTTCGATTCTGGTCAAGGGCATGTACCTTGGCTGCGGGCATATCCCCAGTAGGGGGTGTGCAAGAGGCAGCTGATTGATGACTCTCTCTCATCGATGTTTCTAACTCTCTATCTCCCTTCTCTGTACAAAATCAATAAAATATATATTTTTAAATAAATAATAAAATAAGCCCAGCCAGCATGGCTCGATGGTTGAGCATTGATCTATGAGCAGGGAGGTCACAGTTCCATTCCCAGTCAGGGCACATGTCCAGGTTGAGGGCTTGATCCTCATTGTGGGGCATGTAGGAGGCAGCTGATCAATGATTGTCTCTCATCACTGATATTTCTATCGCTCTCTCCCTCTCCCTTCCTCTCTGAAATCAGTAAAAATGTATTTTAAAAAATAAAGTAAAATAAAATAAAATGCCCCCTCCCCAATCCTCATCTGTCCATCCTGGCCAGGACTGATCAACTGCCTCCTGTACCCGCACCCACTGAGAATCAAGCTCAGTGGTTAGTGTCAGCCTGCACAACAAAAGGTCCAGAGTTCAATTCCAAGGGCACCTCCAAAGGTTGTAGGTTAGATCACCATTCCAGTTAGGGCAGATACAGGAAGACACTAACCTACACATCCATGTTTCTCTCTCTCTCTCCCTCTCCCTCCCTTCTATGATCTCTGAAAATCAATGGAAAAAAAGGAGGAAAGCTGCCCTGCCCAGACGGTGTGAGGACAGAAGCCAGGTTGCTTATATCACCTCTGAGCTACAGGTTCAGCTGTGGAGGTGAACCAATGGGTGCGGACTGCCAGTCATTACTTCAGCCAATGAAGGAGACACAGGGGGGAACCAATAGGAGCATTTATTCCTGCAGGCAGTAGGAGAGAGCAGCAGGCTATTCACAAACATCTGCTTTGTGCCCCTCCATACTGCAGCCGCTTTTATGGGGTAGAAGGACAACAAGGATTGCTGGGGAATTAGGCATGACAGGCATGGGGGAAGTGGGCACAAAATAATCATTGCAGATTACAGATCTAACCCTTCAACAGGAATGAAGCAGACAGGGTTGAATCATGTGAGTGGAGTTGGGGTGGATGAGGGGGAGGTTCACAGAGGGCGTCCACCGCCTTGTAAAGAGCAGGTGCCGCACTGGCTGGTGTGGCTCAGTGGATGGAGCGTTCGCCTGCGGACTCAAAAGAGTCCCAGGTTCGATTCCGGTCAAGGGTATGTACCTTGATTGCGGGCATGTCCCCAGTAGGAAGTGTGCAGGAGGCAGCTGATCGATGTTTCTCTCTTATCAATGTTTCTAGCTCTCTATCCCTTCCTTTCTGCAAAAAATCAATAATATATTAAATTAAAAAAAAGAGCAGGTGACTAGAATATTTCAACCAAGAGGCTGTCAATCATTCCATAATGATGGGCAGCTCCGGAGACAGGCAGCCCCGACCCCTTGGTTGTCTGGTTACAGGCACCGACGGAACTTCCCGAATGCTCCCAGGTGGGTCTCACCTGCCCGTTCACCCTCCGCATCTCACCCCCTGGATCGTCCTAAACGCCGAGGAATGGGGCTCAGGAGGGCGCTTGGGACCCGGGAGCTGGGAGTCCAGCCGGGTGGGACCAGAAGACCCGTCCGTCCTCACCGCCGCCCGCAGTCCGGACACCGACTGGGTCCTGACCCCAGAGCCTCCGTCTCGGGTTCAGCAAAGTCGACACCACCCCGAGGGCCCCGAGGAACCCGGGCTGGTGGAGCCTGGACTTCGCTGCGGTCATGGATGTCCAGGACAGCGACGGGACCTCCAGTTTCTCGTGCCGTTCCAGCACCCCTCTCTTCGGGCGCTGGGAGCTCCCTGGGCGAGGCCCTCAGCCCGGTGTGAACCAAAGGCCCAAACGCTGAAGAAACAATCCAACCTGAAAAGTCCCGCCCCCATCCCTGCACGATCATTGGCCAGAGAACGCCCAGAAACGCCCCCTCCTGATCTCTCATTGGCCAGGTCATGGACGTGGAGTGAGTGCCTTTCAAGCTTTGTAGTTTGTCTATTAAGCAGCAATGCCGGAGCGTGCTTCCTGATCACCTAGGAAACGACAAAGCGGCGCCGTGATTGGCTCAAAAAAAAAAAGAGTTGTTAGAGGAGAGTCTGGAGCCAATCAGGCTCCGAGGCGGGGGGGGTTTCCAATAGGGGGCGGGATTTCCATAGTTGCCTGCGCCTATTTGTTTAGCTCCCATTGCTGCACGATCATTGGTCAGAGAATGCCCAGAAACGCCCCCTCTGATTTCTCATTGGCCAACTCTGGTAAGGACGCAGAGCATGCGGCTTCAGGCTATGTAGCAAGGTCTGGTGAGCAGCGACGCCAGGGCGTGCTTCCCCTTCACCTAGGCAACGACCAAGCGTCACCGTGATTGGCTCAAAAATAAAGAAGTTGTTGTTGGCGGCTGGCCTAGAGCCAATCAGGCTCTGAGAGCGGTTTCCAAGGCGGGGTTTCCAAGGAGGGGGCGGGATTTCCGTAGCACAAGCTATAGGAGGTTTTTGTAATAGCCATTGGTAATCAGTGAGATTTGAGGATAGCCATCTTCCATGGGGCACCAGCCGCACCCCGTCTCCTGCCACCCAGGCCCCCCCCGCCAGGTCCCAGGGGTCACCTCGTAGAGCCCCCCTTCTCTCTGCGGCACCAGGACCGGGTCTGGGGCTCCCCGCCAGCCCCCCCGCTCCCCGCTCCACAACCAGGGCGACGCCGCGGACGGCAGCCACCCTCCAGCCTCCTCGGAACCGGACCCCCTTCCACTCACCTGCGCCACCTCCGCCATCGGAACCTGCTGGCACAGCGGCCTCCGGCCGCCGCGGCACCTGCGAAGCTCGGTATCCGCGGGGCGCGCGGTGCCGAGGGCGGGGAGCTGGCTCTGGAGGGAGGTCACTGGGAGCCCGCACGGACCCGCCCCCGGGAGCCCACAGAGCGCCGCTGGTCAGAGCCGGAAGTCCCGCCCCATCCGAGCCGCTGACGCCTCACGCTCGCACTACATTTCCCAGCGCCCCACGCGGCGCCGCTTGCTGGTTGCCACGGCGACAGGGGGAGCGTGCTCCCTGCTTCCGCTGGAGACACACACACCGCAACTCCATTTCCCATCGTGCCTCGCGGCGCGTCACAGACGTTGCAACGGACAACGGCCTGGGAAAGGGTGGGAGCGGCGCTCGAGCCTCGGCGGTTCTCCCGGAGCCACTCGGGGCGGAGGCGCAGGTTGCTGCTCGGCTGACGGCGCCCGGGACGCGGGAGCGGGGAAGGCGAGAGAGCGGAGCGGCCCCACCGCCACCTGTACGCCGAGGCCTGGCCGGTCCCGGGGGGCGGGCGAGGCGGGGGAGCTGAGACGGAGAGAACCGCGGCGGCGGGTCTGGAGCGGGCGGGAGGGAGGAGGGAGCGGGTATTCCGGGCCCAGGTCGGACCCGGGCGTGGAGTTGAGGGGACGTGGCTTGTTCGTTTTTTTAACTTTTAAAAATATATGTGAATCGATTTCAGAGAGGAAGGGAGAGGGGGAGAGAGCGCGACATCAGTGATGAGGGAGAATCACGGATCGGCTGCCCCCTCCCGGGGATTTTGTGCCCCGACCGGAATCCAACCGTGACCTCCCGGTTCATAGGTCAAAGTTCAACCACTGAGCTACTACAGCTGGTATTAATTTTTTTATTTATAGGTTGTTAGAGGCACACACACACGGATTTGTCCATCTTTATTTGCTTTCATTGGTTGAGGTTTTTTCTAAATTTCTTCATTGATTAAGGTGTTATATTAATATATGTGTCCTTATTCCTCAATTACTCCCCAAAACTACCCCCATACATGCCCTTACCCCCCTGTTGTCTGTGTCATTGATTAGGCTTATAGGCATGCATATAAGTCCTTTGTTTGATTTCTCCCATTGGTTGAGTCTTTTTTAAAAAAAAAAAAATTTCTTGATTTCAGAGAGGAAGGGAGAGGGAGAGAAAGATGGAAATATCCACGATGAGAGAGAATCATGGATTGGCTGCCTCCTGCACACCCCCCTACTGGGGATTGAGCCCGGGCATGTGCCCTTGAACGGAATCAAACCAGCGACCCTTCAGTTCACCAGCCAAAGCTCTATTCACTGAGCCATACCAGCTAGGGCGGTTGAGTCTTTTCTGTACCCTGACCAGGGATTGAACCCACAACCTTGGCATACGGGGAAGATGTTTTCTCAGAAACGGCATTCCCGGCCCTGGCCAGGGCGGGCGAGAGGAGGCGCTTTTGTAGGATGCTCTCCAGTCCCAGGCCTGGCCAGCCCGCCAGCCTCAGTTTCCCCATCCATCAACCTGGACACTGCCACTCCCTCGGAGGAGAAAGGGGAGGGGAGAGCTGGAGGAGGACCCAGGACCCCGGTGTGCTGAGCTGGGGCAGGGGAGATCCCAGGACCCTGGCGGGGAGGCCACGTGGCCACGAGGATGGCCTCTGCTGAGTCCCCTGGGCATCACCTGCCTCTGGGGGTTCCCTTCTCAGACCTGGGTGCCCCCCCATCCCTGTGCACCCTGGGCACACAGCAGGTGCTCAGCAAGTACCTGTGGGTCACAGAGCCCCCTGCCTCCAAGGGGCTGAGCCCTCCCAGGTCTAGGCCGCCCCCCAGTCTTCCCCGCGGGGGTTCTCGGCCTCAGCACACCCTCCTTCCCTGTCTTCCTCCCAGGGCCTGAAGAGACACCAGCCTCCTCGCTGGGCCTGAGCCTCCAGGGCCTGAAGAAGGCAGACATGGCATCGTCCTCCCAGCGCAAACGGGCCAGCCCCAAGCCCGAGCTGACCAAGGAGCAGATCCAGGAGATCCGGCAGGCCTTCGACCTCTTCGACACGGACGCCACCGGCACCATCGACGTCAAGGAGCTGAAGGTGGCCATGCGGGCGCTGGGCTTCGAGCCCAAGAAGGAGGAGATCAAGAAGATGATCGGCGACATCGACAAGGAGGGCACGGGGAAGATGAACTTCAACGACTTCCTGACGGTGATGACGCAGAAGATGTGCGAGAAGGACACCAAGGAGGAGATCCTGAAGGCCTTCAAGCTGTTCGACGACGACGAGACCGGCACCATCTCCTTCAGCAACCTCAAGCGCGTGGCCAAGGAGCTGGGCGAGAACCTGACGGACGAGGAGCTGCAGGAGATGATCGACGAGGCCGACCGCGACGGGGACGGCGAGGTGAGCGAGCAGGAGTTCCTGCGCATCATGAAGAAGACGAGCCTCTACTGAGCGCCGCTCCCTCCTCCTGTGAGCGCGCGCACGGCCGGTGTTCCTGCTGCTGTGAGCGCGCGCACGGCCGGTGTTCCTGCGGCTGTGAGCGCGCGCACGGCCAGTGTTCCTGCTGCTGTGAGCGCGCGCACGGCCGGTGTTCCTGCGGCTGTGAGCGCGCACGGCCGGTGTTCCTGCTGCTGTGAGCGCGCCCACGGCGGGTGTTCCTGCGGCCGTCCGGGAAACCAGGTCCGAGGGCACAGATGTTTCCCCACCGACCTCCCTGTGTGACTTTAGTGACAGCCTCACACTTATTTTCAACGTTTGCAAGTTTTCTTCAACAAAAAAAAGTTCCTTGTGAGACGACCAGCCTGCTGCTTCCTTTAATTCTCTACACGGAACAGGAGCCGTGGGGCTGTGGCCGCCGTCCTGCCTGATCGCCTCGCTCCGCCGCGCAGCCCGTGGGCCCCCAGAGACTCCGCCGGCAGCGCTGCTGTGACTCTGTCACCACCACCAGCGCATCTCCCCGTGGTTCTGGTTTGAACTGACCCTGAGTGCAGCTTTCTCTTTTAAAAGGTCCAATGAACTCTCTCACTTCCACTTGGATGTGTTTTTCCTATCTGTTTTGTGTTAAAATAAAGCCTAAGAAAAAAGTTCCCCTTGCAAGTAGAGTATTTACTGCAGCCATTTTACAGAAAGAGAGCAGCAAAGTTCAGAGGGCCAGGGAGGAGGAGCAAGCCTGGGAGGGGGGAGGCAGAGGGAGGCTGGGTGGGCACAGCCCCAGGCGGCCACAGAGGCTGTCAGGCAGGCACCAGGCCGGGAGGCCCCTTGATCCCGCCCCAGTTTGGTGCCAGCAGCTCCTGTTCCCTGGTCGGGGGGTAGGCGGGCGTCGAGGTAGCAATCAGCAGACGGTGCCCACAGTGCCCTGCTCTGTCCTCAGCCCCGTTTTACAGGAGGAGAGACTGAGGCCTGGCTGGGAGGGTGGAGAAGCCGGTAGCAGAGGGAGGGAGGAGCCAGCCCTGCCCTGACCCTCAGCCACCACCTCCTGGCCCAGTGGCCCCGGACTCAGTGCCACCGTCATCTCCCTGCGTGTCCTCCTCCAGGCAGCCTTCCCGGGACATACCCGGGCAGAGAGCACCATCATCTGTGAGCCGCCTGTCAACGGTCCCCTCCTGGTCCCCCGGCCGGACCCACCCCGGCAGGTCTGTCCCCCACCCCTCACGCCCCTGCTGGGGGTGCAGGAGGGAGCTGCCTGGGCCTCTGTATATACTGGGTAATGGCCTCACAGATGTTCGGGTCCTAATTCCAGGGATCTGCTGCCTTCAATTGTGAGAGGGGCCTGTTGGTGTGATTAAGTAAAGGACACTGAGCCGGGAGATTATCCTGGCTCATCAGGAAGGGCTCACTTGGTCACAATCTTTTTATTTTTCTGTTAATCCCCATGTGAGGATCTTCTTCCATTGATTTTTCCTCCAGTGGGAGGAAAATGGAGAGGCAGAGAGAAATATTGATGTGAGAGAGAGAGAGAGGAGAGAGAGAGAGAGAGAGAGAGAGAGAGAGAGAGAGAGAGATGTATAGAATGGTTGCCTCCTGCACGCACCCCGACCAGGGCCAGGGTCCTGCCACCAAGGTCCATGCCCTTGACCAGAATCAAACCCAGGACCCTTCTGTCCGTGGGCTGGCGCTCTACCCACTGAGCCACACCGGCCAGGGCTATCACAGTGTGTGATACAAGGCAAGGCAGGGGGTAGGAGAGAGTGATCCAGAGATCCTGCACTGCGGCCAGCCTCGAGGACAGAGGACAGGAATGCTCTTGGAGCCCCTAGGAGAGCTGTGTGGACACCCGGACTTCAGGGGGGATGGACCCTAAGACTCTAGGATAGGACGTCCGCCTGCGAAGCCGTGAGGGCCCGTGTCGGGTTCCCAGGAACAGAGCCAGTGGAAGGATGAGGCTCCCACCTGGCCGGCCCCTCCCTGCAGGGCAGGCCCCGGGTGACACGGGCTCACAGGCATGGGGCTTGGGCTGGTCCCGGGAGACACTCCTCGGTGCCCTGCTGCTCCCACTTCCAGGCTTCCTCCCTGGAAGCGCAGCTCCCACCCACAGGAGCCTGCCAGCTGCCGGGTCCCGGGGGGTGGCGGGCAGCCAGCGGGGGGGGAGAGGGGGGGCGGGGGGGTGTGTCCAGGGCACTCCTGGGCGGCTCCCTGGTCCTAACAAGGCTGCCTCTCTTCGGTCACAATGGTAAATTCATTTTGGTAATAATGTCTTACATTTACCAAGAAGATACTTTCATTTCCATTTTTGCCTTTTTAAAAAATATATATTTTATTGATTTTTTACAGAGAGGAAGGAAGAGGGATAAGAGAGTTAAACATCGTTGAGAGAGAAACATCGGTCAGCTGCCTCCTGCACGCCCCCACTGGGGATGTGCCCGCAACCAAGGCACATGCCCTTGTCTGGAATCGAACTTGGGACCCTTCAGTCCACAGGCCAACGCCTTATCCACTGAGCCACACCAGTCAGGGCTCTCTCTCATCTCTCCCTCTCCCTTCCTCTCTAAAATCAATAAAAATAGGTTTAAAAAAAGAAAAGGAAGAGCTGGGTGCCCACCCACAACACACAGCACCCAACCTGGGCTCCGTGAGGCAGGATGGGGCTCCTGGGCGGGGGTGGGGCAGGTGACTCGTGGTTAGCTCCTGCAGAGGGAGGCTGCCACCTGCCCACTCCGCGGTGACTAAGCCAGGAAGGCTTCTGGGAGGAGGCGGCCAGGAACCTCTGACTGCCCTCCCCGGAGGTGACTGTCCACAGGGAGCCAACAGGATGGCAGGAAGGGGCACAGCTGGTCCCAAGGATGGAATGGATGGAGATGGGGTGATGGGCGCAATCTACCCCCCAAATCAGGTGGCACTGGCCCAGAGGGCAGCGGTGGCCTCGGTGAGCCTGGTGACACAGGCCCCGGACTCTGCAACCAGGCCGCCACCGCGGCTCGGTGTCTGGGCACCGACCTAGGAGCCAGGAGGTTCCGTTCCCGGTCAGGGCACAGGCCCAGGTTGCAGGCTCCATCCCCAGTGGGGGGATCAATAATAAATATAAAGAGCCCTGGCTGGTGTGGCTCAGTGGATAGAGCGTTGGCCTGTGGACCAAGGGGCCCCGGGTTCGATTCTGGTCCAGGGCCCGGGCCTGGGTGGCAGGCTCGCTCCCCAGAGGGGGACGTGCAGGAGGCAGAGAATGAGTGACTCTCTTTGCTGCTGTTTCGCTGCCTCTCTGCCGTCAATCACAGACACAGAGAGTCCAGGACCCGCAGGAGAAGCCGAGGCTTCCCGCCTGGCAACTGGGTACCTAGCACCCGGCCGGGGCTCAAACCCCCAACCGTGGCGCATCGGGAGAACTTCTAACTGAGCTGCCCCACCTGCCCCCTCTGCCTGCAACCTGGGCTCAGTCCCCTCAGGCCCCATCTGTCTCCCAGGTCCCTGGACCTCCCTCGCTGGCCCAGCCTGCAGGCCCAGAGCAGACAAACCACCACCTGGCGGGTCAGCAGCCGATCTGTTCCCCTCCCTGCCTTCTCCAGAGCCTTCAGCCTTTGGGGCCCCGGATGCTCCCCAGGATGACTGTGGGTCTGGGGGTGCACTCCAGGGACCCATGTGAGGACCAGCGTTGGGGTGCCCCTAACAAGGCCCCCTGCAAGGGGGAGGGGTCCCACAGGGATGAGGACCAGGTATCCCACTTCACTCAGGAGCGCCTGCCAGCAGGTCTTTTATTTTAATCCTCTCCCGAGGACATTTTCCCGTTGATTTGTAGAGCGAGTGGGAGGGAGAGGGAGAGAGAAACATGGATTGGTTGCCTCCTTCACGCGCCCCCAAGAGGGCACCCCGACAGGACAGGGCCCAGGCCAGGCCGAGCAGAGCCTGCACCCAAGGAGCGTGCCCTGAGCCACGTGACCAGTCAAACGCCGGACCCTGCTGTCCGCAGGCGCAGGCTCTAACCACTGACCCACACTGTCCAGGGCCCAGCACAGTCTTCATAAAGATGGGTGCCCGCAGGGGTCAGGGTCAGGGTCAGCGTTTGCTTCCTTGGTGAGAGGGATGGTCCGTGTCGGGTGACCCCTCTGGAGACCTGGTCCCTGCCGGCGCCTCCAGGGAGGGGCGGGACGGTGGCGAGGGGTTGGCGGGGCCCCAGGAGGACGTGGGGTGCCCGGGGCTGGAGCCCGGCTCTGCCAGAGGCAGGTTCACTGCGCCCCCCGCACCCACCACCGGCCCCACATCCCGCCGGGGGGGTCGCCGCGCTCTCCGCCCCACGCGCGGCCCCGGGGCCCGGCCCGCGCGCCCTCTGCCTCCGGCGCGTCCTCGGGGCCCCCCGTTGAGTCCGGCCCGTCCTCGGGGCCCCCCGTTGGGTCCGGCGCGCCCTCGGGGCTCCCGGGAGGGTCCGGTGCGCCCAGGTCCGGGCCACCGGGGGCCCCCGGCGTCCAGGCGGCGCTCCAGGGCGCGCCGGGCTCGGGCGGCGGCGGGGCCCAGGAGAAGCCGTGCGCCGGGGCGAGCGCCACGAGCTGCGGGCGCGCGGCGGCGGCGGCGGAGGAGGCGGCGTGCGGGATGAGGAAGAAGAGGTAGACGCCCGACACCACCAGCCCCGCGGCCACGAGCGCGGCGAGCGCCACGGCGGCGTTGAAGGCCCAGGTGGGGCTGTCCAGCGTGAGGCGGCGGGACAGCGGGCGGCCGAGGCGGCGCGGCGGCGGCGGGGGCGCGGCGGCGCGGGCCTTGCGCGGCGCGGGCGGCGGGCGCAGGTACAGGAGCCCGCGGCGCCGGTCGAAGCGCACGGCGGCGGCGGCGGCGGGGGCCCCGCGGGGCAGCAGGCCGGCCGGCGTGGGCAGCGCGGGCAGCCCCCCGCGCGGGCCCAGGCGCGTGGGCGCGCGGCACACCGGGCAGGCCAGCGCCTCGCCGCCGCCCGCCGTGGCCAGCGACAGGCGCGCCAGGCACTCGAGGCAGAAGACGTGGCCGCAGTCCAGGCGCTTGGGCAGCTGGAAGGCGCCGTCGAAGGGCGACACGCAGATGAGGCACTCGGCGGGGGACGCGGGCGGCAGGATGGGGCCCGGGCTGCCGCCGTCGCCGTCCTCCTCCTCCTCGTCCTCCGTGCCCTGCGTCTGGCCCGGGGCCGGGGAGCGCGGCGCGGAGAGCGCGGCGGGGGAGCCGGGGCCGGAGGCCGGCGGGGCCCGCGCGCGGCGCAGCCAGGGCGGCCTGGGGCAGGGCATCCGGACGGGCCTGCGGGGAGGGCGGACGGGCTGGGGACCGGGGTCCGCGCAGGTGAAGCCGGACTCGGGGGGCTCCCCCCGGAGATGGGCGCTGAGGGGACCGGGCGGCTGACAGGCGTGGGGAGGGCGGGACCCAGAGCCCGGAGCGCAGGGGTCTCACCACAGGGAAAGGGTCCCACGGAGACCCCAGGCGCCTTCCTACCTGCGGAGCCTCCTCCGGTGCCAGGCCAGTTCTGGCCCCGATCCCCGGCCCAGCGGCCGAGGGACACCGCGCGCCCCGCCCCGTGGGAGGGCCCAGGCGGAGCCACGCCCGACGGGTCCGGCCCGACCCGTCGGGCCACTCGCCACGCCCACCGGCCGGATGTCTGGGGGCGGCGGGCAGGCGATGGCGCAGGTGGAGCCTGCCGCCCAGGTGAGTGATGTGCCCCCACCTCCTCCAGGTGCGCTCCCCACCCGGAGGCATGGGCGCAGGGGTGGCGGGAGGCAGCGCCCCCTGCAGCTGCCTGGCTGGGCTGCAGCCCGAACACAGAAGGGGGGTCTGGAGTCTGCGGGTGGGAGGGGGCTGACGCTCAGGGAGCTGCACACGGTCCCCCTTTACCCTCCAAGACAAAGCTGGAAGTGGTCGCAACAGCACCCACCAAGCCCTCCCAGAGCAGACCGCCTCCGTGAGGATATCCCACCCCCATCTCCTCTCAGTCCAGCGGGAACACTCCAGGCGGCCGGCCCGCACCCTAACCCGCTCCCCGCACCCATGGGTCCGAGTCAGGCCTTCCCTGGGGAATGCAGACCCCAAGACTGCCCAGACTGTGATCAGCTCCTCAGGACGTGGGGACCCCAGCTCCCGAGACCCCAAGGACGGACAGCACACAGGCAGGCGGTGCGCCCGGAGGCAGACGTTTATTAGAGCTGCGGCCGGATCAGCGGTTGGACTTGGCCACGCGCTCCAGCTCGTCCTTCTTCTTGATGGCGTAGGAGTTGGAGGAGCCCTGCGGGAGGCCCGGTCCGTTAGCTCCAGGCGGGGCGGCCCCCCCCCCCCCCCCCGCTCACCCCCCCCTCCTCCCAGCCCGGCCCTCACCCACCTTGGCCGCGTTGATGAGCTCGTCGGCCAGGCACTCGGCGATGGTCTTGATGTTCCGGAAGGCGGCCTCGCGGGCGCCCGTGCACAGCAGCCAGATGGCCTGGGGAGCACAGGGCGGCTCAGCCGGGGCGGGGACACCCCCTCCAGGCTGGGCCGGGCTGGGGCTGGGAAGGCTGGCGACCACAGTGCCGCCCAGGTGGCGTGCTGCCGGGTGTGGGGTCAGACTGGGGCCACAAAAGCAAGTGTAGACACTAAAGGCCTCCGATTCCTGGAGACCTGCACGAACAAGTGTGCCCCTGGGCCCGGGATGGAGGAGCAGCTATAGGGCTGGGGATGGCGGCACAACCAGGACAGAGGGAGCCCTAGTTCCTCGGCTGCTGTTACAGTCCTCCGGGGACAGCGGACTAGAACGCCCATGTTCCCTGAGAACGTCATCAGCGGATCCTCCCGCGCGCGCGCACACACACACACACACACACACACACACACACACGCACACGCACACGCACACGCACACGATGACAAACCATACGCCAGAATCAAACGGCACCTCAGCCCAAGGCCGCCCAAGGCCCAGAGCTGGGAGCAGAATCCCAGCCACACAGGCAGGAATCCAGGAAGTCTTTCTGGAGGAAGTGACACTCCAGGCAAAGCATGCGCCTGGGCGACCTCCCCACTGGCCCGGCTGCCCGAGCAGGATCGGAGGCCCGGCGGCCGCGCCGCCCGCCCAGCCCACCTGGTTCACGCGGCGCAGCGGGGACACGTCCACGGCCTGGCGCCTCACGGTCCCGGCGCGCCCGATGCGGGTGGAGTCCTCGCGGGGGCCGCTGTTGATGATGGCGTTCACCAGGACCTGCAGGGGGTTCTGGGGGGGCAGGGGGAGGGGGGCGCGTGAGCCCGAGGCAGGTCTGCGGGGGCCCCGAGGCCCTGCAGGACCGGGAGGGAGGCCCAGGCCGCCTACCTCGCCCGTGAGCAGGTGGATGATCTCGAAGGCGTGCTTGACGATGCGCACCGTCATGAGCTTCTTGCCGTTGTTGCGGCCGTGCATCATCATGGAGTTGGTGAGGCGCTCCACGATGGGGCACTGCGCCTTGCGGAAGCGCTTGGCGGCGTAGCGCCCGGCGCTGTGGGGCAGGTACTTGGCGTACTTCTCCTTCACCGCGATGTAGTCCTGGGGGGGGGGGCGGGGGGGGCGTCAGGGGGAGGGAAAAAAGGGTGGGCGGCCCCGAGCCTGTGGGGTCCGCGGTGGGCGGCTCTGCCATGGGCGGGGGCAACCCCTCTCCCGGTTTTGCTTCGAAAGGACCTCAAACCGCACACGGACGTTTTGGATCAGACTCTGCTGGGGTTTGGGGCCGCCTGTGTGCTGAGGGACGGTTAGCAGGAGGAGCCCTCTAACCTCTGAAATGGCTGGGTTTTTAAATGCTTTTTTTATTTTTTATTTTTTATTTTAGCGAGAGGAAGGGAAAGGGAGAGACTAACAAACATTGATGCGACCGACAGGAACACGGATCGGCTGCCTCTGTGAGCTCCCCACAGGGACCGCGCACAGAATGCGGCCTGTGCCCCACCAGGAAGCAAACTGGAGAGGCTTGGTGCATGGTTGATGCCCAACCAACGGGGCCCCACCAGCCAAGGCTCAAAAGTGTATTGTTTTTGCTTTTAATGGATTGGTTCAGAGGAGGGAAACACTGACTGGCTGTTACTTAGGCATTCACCGGTTGACTCTCATGTGCCCTGTCTGGGATCAAACCAGCAGCCCTGGCCTCTGACGCTCTAACCAACTTGTTTAAAGAATCACAGAGAACCCTTCCTACACAGACATTTCCCCAGAAAACACCAGAACGTCGGGGAGGAGTTGGGACCAGGAACTCCATAGTCCTTCGATGAAGCACGCCCAGGGACTGTGACACATGAGAACAGAACTCAGGAATGCCTTTCTAAGGATGCAGACGGGGCTGGCATCTCAGCCGCTCAGTGCCATTCGCTCCACCAAGGCTGAGGGCTCACACAGGAATCAACCAATGAATGAACAATTGGAGCAGCTGGCCAGCATGGCCCAGTGGTTGAGCATCAATCAACCAGGAGGCATCGGATTAATGTTTCTCTACCTCCCTTTCTGAAATCCATAAAAAATATATATATTTAAAAACTGGCACAATTGGGGAGGGTATGTATGGGGGGGGGAATGGTAAGATATGTACACAGATAATAATTTAATAATAATAATTAAAAAAAAACTGGCACAATTGAGTTTCTCTCTGAAGTCAATAAAAAATTGAAAACGTAATAAAAACACAAGCAGAAACAGGGAATGCTGACACTGGGGTGAGGCAGGAGCCTGTGCAGATAAGCCTGTGGACACAGCCGTGCCAGTGAGGGTCCGGTCCATGTGCCCGGGCCCAGGGCGGCGAGAAAATCCGGGGCCCACAATGGCACCTGCTGCCCCATCAGAGCGCCAGGGAGAAGAGAACACAGGTGTGACACGTTCCCAGGGCCACACACACAGGACAGAGTGGGCGGCCGAGACGGAAACCTCACTGCGCCATCCTCGAGGTTTGCAGACCTGCAGAGCAGGCCATGAAGGAACACACCCCACAGACATTCGGGTGAAAAAACTGGCTCTCTGTAAGCAGGGGGCCTCGGCCCCACCACACACCCAGAGGCAACAAAAATGCTTCTTTAAACAACAAGGGGCCGAGACTGGTTTGGCTCAGTGGATAGAGCGTCTGCTTGGGACTGGAAGGTCCCGGGTTCGATTCCGGTCAAGGGCATGTACCTTGGTTGCGGGAATATCCCCAGTAGGGGGTGTGCAAGAGGCGGCTGATTGATGACTCTCTCTCATCAATGTTTCTAACTATCTCTCTCCCTTCATCTCTGTACAAAATCAATAAAATATATTTAAAAAAAACACAAAAAACAAGGGGCAGTAAGATATAACCCAACCTGGGTTTCATTCATCTCCGCAGTCTGTCACAAAGTAATTTGTTTCGTTTTGTGAAGGGCCCACAGAGCAATACTGAGGCCAAGTGGGGGTGAGGGACCCTGGGAGGACTAATTTCAAACCTCAAAACCCAGCACAGCTACGCAGACTGCATGTCAGGAGTGCAGACAGACTTCAAAGGAGCGGGTACCACTCCAACCCATTTGCTCAGGGTCTGGGTTTGACTCCAGGTCAAGGGCACGCACCTCAGCTGCAGATTCCCGGGCCCCAGCAGGGGCATGGGTGGGAGGCAGCCAATTGAAGTGCCTCTCAAACTTTGTTATTTTTTTCTCTCTCTAGAAATCAATGAAGATAGCCTAGGTGAGGATTTTTTAAAAAATAAGGGTGCCACAACCATTCAACAGGGGAAATGCCCTTTAACCAAGTTTCCTTGGAAACAGGCATGCAGCGTATAGAAGAGATTTAAATGACAAACACTCTGTGGCCCAAGTTTGTTAAATAAAATGTGCAGAAAACAAGCAAAACCAGAAGGTGTTGGGACAAATGGATTTCCACAGGCAAGGAATGATGTTGGACCCTCGCACTTTAGATGATGGGTTATGTGCATTTTACTACAGAAGCTGCAGGCCCCAGCCCCAGGCTCAGAGGGCTGAACTGTCAGCGGACACCAAAGGGCTGTAGCTCAGTTTCCTTATTTCTAAAACTAGTAAGCAGCCCAGCTGGTGTGGCTCAGTGGGTTGAGCATTGACCTATGAACCAGGAGGTCAGGGCCCAGGCCTGGGTTGCAGGCTCCATCCCCAGTGGGGGGTGTGTAAAAGGCAGCTGATTGATGATGATTCTCTGTTTCTCTTCTATTCTAAAATCAATCTATATGTGTATATACATATATATGTATGCAGATTTTTAAATATATATTTTATTGATTTTTTTTTAGAGAGGAAGGGAGAGGGAAAGTTAGAAACATAAATGAGAAACATTGATCCAAACCGGCTAGGTCTTCATTGTTATTTTTTTAAATGCACTTTTATTGAAAAAAAAATATATATATATATGGTTTTTTTCTTTCCCCTTTTGCCCTAACTGGTGTTGCTCAGTGGATAGAGCAACAGCCTGGGGACTGAAGGGTCTCAGATTCGATTCTGGCTAAGGGCATGTACCTTGGTTGCGGGCACATCTCCAGTAGGGGGTGTGCAGGAGGCAGCAGACTGATATTTCTAACTTTCTATCCCTCTCTGTAAAAAAAATCAATAAAATATATTTTAAAAAAAACAACAATGAAATCGATGAGCATACCCTCCTGAGAGCATTAAAAAAACAACACGAACTCTAGCAGCCTCTGCACAGCACACAAGGAAAAACGGATCCGGAGAGGAGGGTTGAAGGGGGTGTGGTCCCTCTCACCTGTCATTTCTTCAGCTCAGGACGGACCCGCAGGACAGCTCCACATCCCCAGTGCCCCCCATGAAAAGCCCCCACGGGCCCCCCACCCCGAGCTGGGCCCCACCCGCGAGCCCCCTCACCTGCAAGGAGATGTCATTGATCTGCACGTCGTCGGTGCTCCATTTGCCGAACAGCTTGATGTCGGGCGTTTCGGCCACTGCGGGCGCCGCCGTCTCCCACTCGTTCATTCTGGGGGCGGAACCGCATGGCCGGGCTCACCGCCTGGGACCTGGGGCGGCCTGGGAGGCTGCCCCCACGCCCTGAGCCATGGAAGGGGGACCCCTGGCCCCCACCGCTGAACGGGCCCCGGCATGGCACCGGCTGCAGTGCCAACCCCTTCCCCGGGTTCCAGGAGCTCTGAGCGTCTGTGGGAGCCAACAGCATGGACTCTGCTTCCCCCCGAGCAGAACCGACTCGTTCTCTGCCATCGAGGAGGGCTGCGCGGAGCCAGGCCACGCCGATGGCCGCGTCCGGCACTAACGGGCACGGGGGGGGGGGGGGGGGACACACACTGTTATTAACGAGAAGACCGTGTGCAGAGCGGAGGGCGCATCGTGCACCCCGGAATAACGGGGACTCCGCCCCGTGTCCACGCGGGGTCGCACAGGCCGATCCGCACTCCGCGGCCCGGCGGCGAGCAGAGCTACGGCGGCCGGCCGGGCTCCCACGGCTCCCCGCGCACCTCGTGTCCCTCCGCACGTTACCCGGAAAGAGGCGGGCGAGGGCTCCCACGGGAACACCCCGGCCTCGGGGCCAGCCCAAGGCTCCCCTGGAAGCTCTGGAGCCCCGATCGGACCCCCGGACCCCGCGGCGGCCTCACCTTAGCGTGTAGCCGGGGCGTCTGGGGCGTCTTGGTCGCTCGGCGTGGACCACGCGCTCCGCTGACACAGACAGGAAGAGGCCGCGGGTCGCAGGCCTCCGCTTTTAACAGGGACGAACACTTCCGGGTCACCGGGCTGGCCTTATGAGCCAATCCGGGACAAGAACGGGAAGGCGTCATTGGCGAACGCGGGATGCGTGAATTGCGGACGCATGCGCACATGCAGAAGCGTACCCATTAGCAAGTCTGGCGGAAGTCTGGCATCTGGTACTGGCCCGACCCTGAGGGATTCTGCGCAAGCGCAGATGCCACCTTGAGGCCGGCGCCGCCATGTCTACTGAGGGCAGGCGTCCCGCGACCGTTCGCTGCCGCGTCCGGCCTCTGATTTCTCATTCCACCTGATGTTCCGAGCGGGGCCAGTCGGTCGGGCATCATCTCATTTTTCGTGGTGTCCGCTTCGCCGGCACACACACAGCCACACAGGCTCGGGCGGCGGCGTGGGGTTCTGTGATGACGACTGCTTTCCGCTGGTCCCGGCCGCCGGGCGCGCGCTCGTTTGCGCATGCGCGTGCACCACGCGTGGGGTCCCCTTCCCCCCACTCGCGAGCTCGGGGCTGCTGCGGGCCTGCGTCCCAGGGAGGAGACGTTTTCCTGTTCAGCCGCACCCATCACCCAGTCCGGGGGCCCCCTCCATGGCTTCTCCTCCATTCCCGTTATCCTGTGGGCCTAGGGATGCGCCCAGGGGTTGCTAGGCAACAGGCCACGCCTCCTCGGGTCCCTCTGGAGCCGGAGTGGATGCTGAGGTCCCTGGACAGGTGCAGGGAGTTGGCTTGGTGATGGGGACCACGACCTCTTTGCAGCCAAACCCAGTGACCCCGGAGGCCATCGTGGAGAGCAAGTGCCAGCTCTTCACCCACACCCACAGCTCTTTTTAAAAATATATATTTTATTGATTTTTTACAGAGGAAGGGAGAAGGATAGAGAGCTAGAAACATAAACCAGCTGCCTCCTGCACACCCCCACTGGAGATGTGCCCGAAACCAAGGTACATGCCCTTGACCGGAATCGAACCTGGGACCCTTGAGACCGCAGGCCAATGCTCTATCCACTGAGCCAAACTGGTTTCGGCCCCACCTCTTTTTAAAAATATATATTTTATTGATTTTTTACATAGAGGAAGGGAGATGAAAAGAGAGAAACATCGATCGGCTGCCACTTGCACACTCCCCATTGGGGATATGTCCACAACTAAGGTACATGCCCTTTACCGGAATCGAACCCTGGACCTTTCAGTCCACAGGCTGATGCTCTATCCACTGAGCCAAACCGTTTAGGGCTGGATCTATTTTTTAAAAATGTTTTTTAAAATATATTTTTATTGATTTTTTACAGAGAGGAAGGGAGAGGAAAAGAGAGTTAGAAACATCAGCTGCCTCCTGCACACCCCCTACTGGGAATGTGCCCACAACCAAGGTACATGCCCTTAAGCCGAAACCGGTTTGGCTCAGTGGATAGAGCGAAAGGTCCCAGGTAGGGGGTGTGCAGGAGGCAGCTGATCCATGTTTCTCTCTCTCATCGATGTTTCTAACTCTCTATCCCTCTCCCTTCCTCTGTTAAAAAAAATCAATAAAATAGCTGGGACTGGTTTGGCTCAATGGATAGAGCGTCAGCTTGGGAACTGAAGGGTCCCGGGTTCGATTCCGGTCAAGGGCATGTACCTTGGTTGCTGGCATATCCCCAGTAGGGGGTGTGCAAGAGGCAGCTGATCTATGACTCTGTCTCATCGATGTTTCTAACTCTCTATCTCTCTCCCTTTCTCTCTGTACAAAATCAATAAAATATATTTTTTTAAAAATCAATAAAATATATTATTATTTTTTTTTAAAAAAAGGCCCTGGCCAGTTTGGCTCAGTGGATGGACCGTCGGCCTGTGGGCTGAAGGGTCCCGGGTTCGATTTTGGCCAGGGGCACATGACTGGGTTGTGGACTCGATCCCCAAGGGGGGTCGTGCAGGAGGTAGCTGATCAATGCTTTTCTCTCAGAATTGGTGTTTCTATTTCCCTTTCCCTCTCTCTTCCTCTCTAAAATCAATAAAATACATATATTTTTAAAAAGTATCACAAAAAAACAAATAAAATATATTTTAAAAAATAAGTTTAAAAAAAAGAAAAAAGAAATGGTCCCAGCGTTTGGGGGTCACTCAGGCATTCCCCAGCTCTGAACAAGGGCAGGGGTGGGGGCACACAGCTTGGTATCTGACCTGAAGTCACACACACACACACCCCCTCCACACAACGAGTCTATGTTGAAGAAGTGGCATTAGAAGAAGTTAAAGTTTAAAAAATTTGGCTCTCCAGAGAAATTTGGCAGCTGCCGGCGCGTTGTCCCCCCGCCCTGGGGGGCCCTGGCCTCTGACCTCTGAGGCTCCCGGAGCGAAGTCATGCTGGTGCCTGCCGGGGCCGGCTGTTGTGCAAACCGGGACACGAGGCCAGCAGCCCTGACCCCTGATTCCCGGGAAGCCCTGAGGCTGGGTCCGGGCAGGCCTCCAGGTCCCGTCGTTCCTCCGCCCGGAGTACGGGCCCCTGGCCGCCTGCCGGCGGGGTCTGGGCCCCAGCTGGTGGGGGTGGGGGTCCAGAATACCTACACTGGTGCCCCCAGGGGTGCCGCTGAGACACATGGGCGCCTGCCCTCCCGCTGTACCAGGAGGAAGGGGGTGCGAGGGTCCTGGCTGAGGGGCCCCTTCCCCCGGGTGGGGACCCCAGACCCCGGCCTGGCTATGTCCCAGGGCCCTCGGGTGGACGGTGGCAGGGAGCCACGGGCCCCCTGGGCGGGGGGGACGGGGCTGCCTGGGCACACAGGCAGGGGTTCGAGTGCTGGTGCCCGGTCCTGCGGAGTCAGAACTGCCCGGCGGGAATTCAGTGCCCGCAGCACCGCGGGGCTGGGACCCCTCGAGGCATTGTGGGCCGTGGCCGGACACGCCGCCCGGGATTCCCTTAAAGAGCATCCGGGGCCCTGGCCCGTGTGGCTCAGTGGATAGAGCATCGGCCGCAGACTGAAAGGTCCCGGGTTCGATTCCAGTCAAGGGCATGTACCTTGGTTGTGGGCACATCCCCAGTGAGGGGTGCGCAGGAGGCGGCTGATGGATGTTTCTCTCTCGTTGATGTTTCTGACTCTCTATCCTTCTCCCTTCCACCCTGCAAAAAAATCAATAAAATATATTTTTTAAAAAGAAAAAGAGCCGAAACCGGTTTGGCTCGGTGGATAGAGCATCAGCCTGCGGACTGAAGGGTCCCGGGTTCGAGTCCGGTCAGGGGCAAGGACCTTAGTTGCCGGCACATCCCTGGGGCGGGGCGGGGGCGGGGGGGGGGGTTGTGCGGGAGGCAGCTGATCGATGATTCTCTTTCATCGATGTTTCTGACTCTCTGTCCCTCTCTCTTCCTCTCTGTAAAAAAATCAATAAAATATATTTTAAAAAAAGAAGAAAGAAAAAAATGAAAAGAAAAAAGAAACATCCATGACGAGGGAGAATCATGGATGGGCTGCCTCCTGCATGCCCCCTTTCTGGGGATCAAGCCCCCAACCCAGGCCTGTGCCCTTGAATGGGAATCGAACCCAGGACTCTTCAGTCCGCAGGCCGACCCTCTACCCACTGAGCCAAACTGGCTAGGGCCGTTCTTTATTGTTTATTCTTAACTTGGCTCTTTTTTTAGTGTATTTACTGTTGCTGAGGTTCCTGGAGCAGAAGGGCTTCTCCTTGCCACCCCCGCCCCCACTCTGCACACATCCACCCACCCACACACACACGTCCCTGGCCTTGGGGAGGACAAACAGCTGAGGGGTCAGTGACCCGCTGCCCCCTCCCTCCCCCCTCAGGCCTTATGACCGCCCTGGCCCGCCGGACGGAGCTCACACCATGTCCACGCTGGCCACCGTCCTGCTGCTCTGGGGTGAGGCGCCTGGGCCTGGGTCCCCTGGGCGGAGGGAGAGGGCGGGAAGGAGCAGGAATGGGGGCCTCATGCGCCTGTCCCCGCAGGTCTCTCCCTGGGCCCAGCGGCCGAGGCGGCCACATGTGAGTCAGGGCCTGGGCTGGGACGGTGTGGGGGAGTGGGGGGACCTAGGACGGTGTGGAGGGATCCCAGGGTACACGGGGCCCTGGGGACGGTGGGAGCACACAGGGGGGTGCCCCTGTCTGGCTCTGACCTCCACGCCCTCGCACACACAGTTGTTGATCCCCGCCCGGACCTGTGGGCCGAGGCCGGCTCGCTGCGGGAGCCCTGGGCCAGCCTGACCCTGGTCTGCCGGGCGCAACTGGCCACCTCGGCCTTCCAGCTGTTCAAGGACGGCGTGGCCGTGGGGCAGGTGCACCCGGATGAGGGGGCCACGGAGTGGCGCTTCCCGCTGGGGGCGGTGTCCGAGGGCCTGCAAGGCCTGTACCGCTGCCGCTGCGCCCTGGGCTCCGGCAGCTGGACCTCGCTGAGCAACCCGGTGGAGGTGACGGGGCCAGGTGAGTGGGGGCTCCCTCCTTCCCTCCCTCCCTCCCCACTGCCCTTGTCGGACCCCCTGCCCCTGAGCAGCTAGGGGGCTTTAGGCAGGACCCTGGCATTGCTGAGCCTCAGTTTCCCCGTCTGTAACATGAGGTGGTTTCTGTACCCACCCCAGAGGGTTGGTGAGGAATAAAATAACTGAGTTCCCAGAAAGGGCTTAGGGCAGGCCTGGCACACAGTAGGGCCTGTCATATGCCTTCCTCCTCTCTCTCTCTCTCTTTTTTTTTTTTAAATATATATTTTTTTACAGAGAGGAAGAGAGAGTTAGAAACATTGATGAGAGATAATCATCTACCAGCTGCCTCCTGCACACTCCCTCCGGGGATGTAGCCCACAACGGAGGTCCATGCCCTTGACCGGAATCGAACCCAGGACGCTTCAGTTTGCAGGCCGCCGCTCTATCCACTGAGCCACACCGGCCTCGGCCATTCCTCCTGTCTTATGTCCCTGTCCCTCCCTTCCTGGCTCCCTCTATGTATTTATCTATCCCAGGTAATAAAAGGCTAATATGCAAATCAACCAAATGGCAAGACGATGGGTCACTATGACACACACTGACCTCCAGGGGACAGGCAGATGCTCAATGAGGGGAGCTGGCCCCTGGGA